GGTCGCGAACTCGCAGCCACTGAATTAGGAGGCGGACGCCTTATCCACTATGTCTCAGGGTGGACTTCAGCTACGAGTATGCATGTTGCCAGTGCAGTTGGCGACGTGTGACTGGTGTGCTTGACGACCTTACCGGTTTAAATGTATGCACACAAGGTGTGTACAGATATGCTCGTGTAGCTGGCTGCCATGTGCGGCGTGTGTCTGACTCTGTGTGCGCTGTGCCGCCGTGTGTCTGACTCTGTGTGTGCGCTGTGCCGCCGTGTGTCTGACTCTGTGCGCTGTGCCGCCGTGTGTCTGACTGTGTGTGCGCTGTGCCGCCGTGTGTCTGACTGTGTGCGCTGTGCCGCCGTGTGTCTGACTGTGTGTGCGCTGTGCCGCCGTGTGTCTGACTGTGTGTGCGCTGTGCCGCCGTGTGTCTGACTCTGTGCGTGCTGTGCCGCCGTCAGTTACACCCCGTTCGACCTGGCCTGGCTGGACGCCTCCACCCGGGACCGGCTGCTGCGCGGGCTGCCGTTCCAAAGGAACGACTGGTGCCGGCTGGTGGGGGCCATCTTCGACAGCATCTCGTCCACCTTCGACAGGTCCGGCCGCCACTGGGACGGGGACCAATGGGGCAGAGCTCGGCTGGCAGTCCCGAGTGGGACGACTGGGACAAAGCTCGGAGTCCGGGAGTCCGGAGTGGGACGACTGGGGCAGAGCTCGGAGTCCGGGAGTCCCGAGTGGGACGACTGGGACAGAGCTCGGGTGGAATGGGACGACTGAGACAGAGCTCCGGTGGAGTGGGGCGACTGAGACAAAGGTTGACCTTTGGTAGGGCTTGAGTGAGATGGAGAACACGACTGGGGAGTGTCTTTTTTGTCATTCGTAGGACAGCTCGCTTGTTTTCACAGCTTCCTTTCGCTATTTCATGCATGTATTCAGCTGAGTAACAATACGAATTTTCACATTCATGGCTAGTAGGTACATCCCAGACAAAGCACTATCTCGTCCAATTGCTGGTCTCCACTTTAGTGATTTATGCTGTTGCGACATGTGTGCTGTAGGTGGTGATTGGAGTCTTTGCTTTCAGAACGTGTAACCGAAGCTGGTACACGGATGTCACGTGCGACCTGCTGGACAGATTCCCCCACCTGTTTGCGGGAATGTCTACCAGGGAGGCCATGGTGAGCCGGTGGCTTTACGACGGGCTGGGCGACGAGCTCTGTCTTTGGGGTTGGGCTGTGTTAGTGTTAATGTTTTGCGCCTTTGGGATTAGATTAGATGACAATGTGTGTGAATTGCGAGATGATCCAGAATAGCAATGTGTACTGTGTATGCATGGAGTAGAATCACTTTGGCCTACATCATATGGTGTAGTTACGGTACTGCCCTGTTCATTAAGTTTGCGTCAGCGACAAAACTACCGACTTCTAACCGGGACTTGTTTGCAGACTTTCATGAGGACCAAGCTGCGAACGAAAGCCAAGAACACGCGACACCGCTTTGTTCAACTGCATCGTCGTCGGTCGGTGCCTCAGTAACCGAATGGCGGAACAACCGCGTACACAGCTGCATTATAGTCGAATTCGGCCGTACAGTGGACCTGGACCTCCAGGTCAACTGTCCACTATGGGCACCGCGTGGTAGGGAGTCGAACTGAAGCAGGCAGTCAAGTTCAGTATGAGTGCACGTCAGTACGTTAGTTGCGTGGGAACCGGTACGGTATTTGCAGTAAGTACGTGAGTTCTGTATACGTCGGTACGTGAGCTGCGTACACGTCAGTACGTGATCTGTGTATATGTGTGTTAAAGTGTGTCCTCGGAAGTGGGCAGTGAAGGCTGTTGCGTGGCCTTATGCGCTATATGTGCTGCAACAAACGCTGCAGCCGTAATGGCCCGCACACTAGTGGCGCTATTGGGTAGCTATCGATGTCCGTGCCCTTCGGTTGGTGTCCTAAAGCACGGAGTCGTAGTTCACTGTTTACTAAACAGTTGCTTAGACTTTAGCTTCGTAGTTATAAATCGGTTCCATGGACAGGCGATAGAGTCGCCCTGGTGATGACGATAATTGTTGGTCATTCAGTGTTACCGACAGTATTCGGTCATGTTACCCGCCATTTTCTAGGTCCGTTTGCTTTGTGTCTCTGGTTCAAAAGTGTTTGTGTTCAAGCGTTAATAAAGATGGGTGTAAATTTATCGAAACTGAGGTGGAGTTTACCCAAAGCTACGATCATCTTCAGGTACGGATTCAGGTTTACGAACTCCCTTGCACTTATGGGGTTCGTACCCCTCGGTTTTTCGCGAATAACTCGCGCAAAAAGCGGTCCCAACGAAATTGTCAGTAGCTTTGATCCAATCAATTTGATTCAATCACCTACCCTACAAATTTCATGACCTTGACTCAAATGACCGTAGACCTGTGACCTGTTTCTCGAGACCGTGTCGGGCCGGAATAGCGATTTGGCCATGTCAGCGCACATTATCCGTGCGTTTAGCCTTGTGTCCTTTTAAACGTTCCAAGCATGAGAAATCATGCTTGTCCCATGCATTATGAAGGATTTCAAGGTTACGTTAAGATCAGGTCAAAGTCTTTGACCTTAAGTGACCTCGCTCCACTTTCGAGTTTGTACATGTTTCTATGGTAGTTTTTGCAGCTAATTTGGAATTCAGCTTTCATTTGAACCTTTGAGAAGTGGTTTTGGTGCCTATGTAGCATGTTACGAAGCTGCCAGTGATGGCTGACACCTACTATGGGTAGCAGGTAGGACGCCTACTGATTGACCTGATCTGATCTGACCCAAGCCACCCCAAATGTATGAATATATCATCTTTGATGAGAACTGACATCGAATTAGTAATCTGGGCCCGGAGAAAACAACCTTACTGTACGAAGTTCAAATAGGGCCCGATTTTCTCGACCTTTGGATCATTGACCTACCCTGGAAGGTCAACCAATGGCCTAGGACCCTAAAATTGGGTGTCCTTGACTTCCTCTCGTCAAGGGCAGCACGCTCGCTTTTTTCGCTTGACCAGGGGCCAAACGGCTGGGGGGAGGGGGCCGTTGGACCCCCCCCCCCCCCCATAGTTTGACGCTGTTAAAAGGCCAATACGGGCGAGGGTAAAGATACTTGCAAATAATTTTAAATGTGCATCAAGCCCAACTACGTAATGTTTTGCACTAGTACAGACCAGTAGAAAGCTCACGTTTTTTATCCTCTAGGCTTTACTCTACGTTACTAATAAAGTACCTATCTTTGAAAGCCACTTGGTTTTGTTTATTAGGCGTGGAGAGTGATGTGCTTTGTGGTCCAGTTCCGTGTGCCGGGCGCGAATAAGGACCGGCGCTTCTCACTACTTGTGTGATATTTTACACCTCGATGCTGAGGTAGGAGGGTGTAGATTACTGCGGATGCCTAGTAAAAATCATCTTTTGAACTGTCCATTGAAGTGGAAAAAGGATACTGTTTGAAATAGTTGGCATTACAAAGCACTGTTACGCCGTGATCTCTCACACGTGATTTTTTTTTTTGTAAAAAAAGTAGGTTGCTGCCTTGCAAAGCGTTTTCTTGTTTCTTTTTGTTACACGATACCTATCTCTATGCATTCGTAGTCGTTTCTTACGTACCTTCATTATTTTTCTGAAAACCAAAACATACTGAAACCATTCCAAACACGAAAAGCGCTGGTGATGTTCGTGCATCTTGTTGACTTCATATGAATCCAGACAGAGAAATAGTAGGCAAATAGTCATATGACATATCCTGTCTCAATCTGTTTTTGCTATCAGAAAACGAGCAAATTCCATGCTAACCCACAACCACCAGCTAATGGAGAGGTAGGTGTACACTCAGTGTGCTCGGAAGCTGGTTTAAAGCAGTAGACGGAACACAACTTTGTCGATTGACTATCATCTGTCTCCCTTTGAGGCCCACTCCTATCGCCTAATGCTAGTCCTGCTGACAGCGTTCTTGGTCATTCCTATTTAATTTACTTAATTAGTCGATTGGAACCACTAAACTTGTCAATACGGCATATTATTGTTTTTTTTTTTGTTATATTTGTTTTTGGTATGCCTATGTTTTGGTGTAGGTATGATTGTGCATGTTTTCTGGCGTATGTCTTGTGTGCATTGTGTATGTTTGTTATGCCCATGCTTGTCTTGTCTCTAGACGTAATACAATTGATGATGATGATGATGATGATGATTGGAATTCAATTATCTGGATTATAATGTCATTATACCTACCAGCAATGCTGGCTTCAAAAAGTTCCACTCGCCGTCCATCCACCGATCGCCAGCAGCCCTTCCCGCTCCAGGCCTCAGGTGGTGTACACCGATCGCCAGCAGCCCTTCCCCTTCCAGGCCTCAGGTGGTGTACACCGATCGCCAGCAGCCCTTCCCGTTCCAGGCCTCAGGTGGTGTTCACAGATCGCCAGCAGCCCTTCCCGTTCCAGGCCTCAGGTGGTGTTCACAGATCGCCAGCAGCCCTTCCCCTTCCAGGCCTCAGGTGGTGTTACACCGATCGCCAGCAGCCCTTCCCGTTCCAGGCCTCAGGTGGTGTTACACCGATCGCCAGCAGCCCTTCCCGTTCCAGGCCTCAGGTGGTGTTACACCGATGGCCAGCAGCCCTTCCCGTTCCAGGCCTCAGGTGGTGTTACACCGATCGCCAGCAGCCCTTCCCGTTCCAGGCCTCGTGTGGTGTTCACCGATCGCCAGCAGCCCTTCCCGCTCCAGGCCTTAGTTGGTATTCCTCCGTCCACCGGTGGCCAGCCGCCATCCCCGTGCCGGGACGCGCAGTGGCCCCAACTGCCGACACACTGCCGGCCCAGCTGTGTCCGTGTCAGCGGCAGTTGTTCCGACGAGGGCCCAGGTGATCCCCCGCTGCCCTCTAACCCTGGACGAGGGCCCAGGTGACCTCCCGCTGCCCTCTACCCCTGGACGAGGGCCCAGGTGACCCCCTACCCCTGAACGAGGGCCGTGTTGTGGCACCTGTTCCGACAAACGCCCTTCTCCCCCAGGCGACCCCTCACTGTCCCCCTGGACGACGTCTACCCTGGCCGGCGCCGCCTCTGCCATCGAACCCTACATGGTGAGTCCGGCCCTCAGCGGTCTGTGATAGCGTATAAATAAACAGGCAAAGGGGGCCAAAGATTTGATATGTAGGTATGTATGTACAGGTCTCGCGAGATTAAGCAGTAGGTTTTGCACTTCTGCATTTCCGGTTATGTCTCAGAAACTAATCGATCTACGATGAAGCCATTTTACACGATCATGGCCGGCTTGTTACCCAACAAGTCGATCGCATCTTCAACACTTACCTAAAAGATTTAGACGACGAAGATATAGCCTGAAGTACACTAAATTCTCTAGGTGCAAAACCTACCTAAAACCCGCGAGACCTGTACATATGTATGTATGTAAGCATGGATTTATGAAACACGCAAACAGGTATGACACCCATTTACAGGCGCAATCATGGACTGGAATAGTGTCTGGAAACCATAACCGCCAGAACCCGTGAATTGCTGCAATTTAATCAAACTGATTTTCCCTTACCCGTGCCCCGTAGCGTTATTGCCGGACCCTACCACCCGTGGGGGGAGGGGCGTCTCGGCCCCTCTAGAATCTCGGAAAGTTACCTATTGATTTTCAAACTTCAAACGGCGTTAGATTAGCTTCACCGGGGAACTACCCTGGGACCCAATTTCATTGAACTAGGACCAAACGATGATGTAACAGGTCATGTCAAAGGTCGCATTTTTTACCGTTTACAAAAATGTGTTATAAGATCGTTTAAAAAGGCATGCTATCGCAAGTCATCGATGGAACATTGTTGGATCAAAATTTGACATCGTGATTGATAATGTTTTTCGCTCAATTCCTTGAAATAGTTTTCAGTCAGGCGATTCAGCATTCAGCTATCAACATACATACATGGTGGATATCACTTTATTTTTAGTTTTGTTGTGTAAAATAATTATTTTTCTTCCTGGCTGACAATATGTGTAGCTTAAAAGGTGTTATCAATTTTTATAAGGTGTTTGACCGTTGCACGGGGTGTTTCGTTTTCCTGGTGACAGTGGAGCGCGGAGGTATGTTGGCAATGTCGTGCTTACACCCGGCGCAAAGCTGCCGGCTGCTGCGCTCCAAACTCTCGCTGTATTTTAGCTCCCGTTATTTTTATTCTTAGTATTAATTGTCCGGCATCACTTAATTTTGTTTTTAACCATCCCATCCCAACCAAAGTAAGTATTCAAAGAATTAACAGAAGGTTGCTGTTACATACCTATCATTATGCTTACAATAATGTTTTAAAATGTCATTGCTTGCCTACCTACCTACAACTAAATCAATCCACCTGACGTTGACTTTCTTGGAGTCCGTGCTGGAAGGGCATGATTTGTTGTCGTGTTCTTTCCTTTTTTCTTTAAAAAAAATATAGGTAAGAGTAAATATTTATATTTCCAAGACAAATAACATTTTTGTTTGTCTACCTCTTTTATTTTTCTTCCTAATGCATTACTAAAAGGTGTGTGGCCGCTAAATTAGTTAAAAAATCTTCAACTTATTGTAATTTTTGCATGGTAGGTATCCCAATGCATTTTTTAAGGAAAGGAAGGTTATGATAAAAATTAATGCTTCTTTACCTCAACTTGACCTTCAATTATCTTGCTCTCTCTCTCTCATTCTCTCTCTCTCTCTCTCTCTCTCTCTCTCTCTCTCTCTCTCTCTCTCTCTCTCTCTCTCTCTCTCTCTCTCTCTCTCTCTCTCTCTCTCTCTCTCTCTCTCTCTCTCTCTCTCTCTCTCTCTCTCTCTCTCTCTCTCTCTCTCTCTCTCTCTCTCTCTCTCTCCGCGGCAGACGTTTGGCGGTGACAGTATGATGTCCGCTGCTGAGCAGAGCTTCATGGCCGATCAGACTCACGGCAGGTAAGGTGCCACTCCATTGTTCATGGTATTGTGTTACCATGTGAGTTAAAAAGTTCCGTAACTTATAAATGTTTCTAATTTACCTTTGCTAGTTGTTTAAAGTTAAAAGAAATGCACGCGGTCAAGACACAGCTTGATTCGATTGGTTCGGTTTATCAGTAAATCAATGACAAATTGATTCGCTGTTTATGTAGTCTGGATGTGCTGTTTAGAAACAGGCAAAGGTTTGTTGCACATTACCGTTGTATATTCTACGGACCACCACCAATGACCGGAGGTTCGAGCGGCGCCACTGCCGCTCTACCTGCTGCAGTTATCCACTGCGGTTTTCAGCGGCGGTCAGCACGCTGTTTGACCTCTCCTGTGACCGTTGTGTGACCGTTGCAGCGGCTCACTGGCCCTCGGCGGCGGTGGCGATGAGTTCTCCGAGCACCCTGACTGGTACGTTCGACTAACGACAGAGAGCGCCAGCCGCCGCGTAAACAGGCCACCGATGGGGCCCTTCTGACGTTTTAAGCACAAACCAGTGTGTTTGCAGTCTTTTCAGTGGTTTGTCGTTCTTTATTCATGGTAAAGTCTGGTTTGATTAAAAAAGAAAATACATTTTAAATAAGTAACTGAAGACAAGTAAGCAAATGGCGTTCCCTTTTGTATTGATTTTGTTGTTTTGCTCTTTTGATTGTTTCCCGCCTCTTTATTCGACGTTATGCGGGTTCTCGTTCCCTTATTTCACGCCCCAGCCTACACTCCTCCTTTGTGTTGCCTGCTTTACTCGAGTTCCAGCCTCGGCTGAAGCCCGGCGCGGACCGTTGGTTTTCAGGCAGGCGCGTCTGGAGCTGGACTGGTTCCCGCTGCTCATACAGCAGAAGCTGCTGGAGCAGCAGCCGTTCGTCCAGCACGACTGGTCCAGCTTCATGACCGTCATCTTCGAGCGCTTCTTCTCGCTCGAGTGTCCGTACGTACAGAGTCCCCCGCCTAAAACACTCCGAGGGAGTTGGAAGGGGTTCAGCTTCACGCTTCACCGAAAATGGCTGATCAATGGGTCTAAAATGAACTAGTCTACCCTCATTCAGTGCGCGATACTGTTAGCCCTATTTTGAAGTTCTGATAATGTTGTTGCTTGTCTGTATCGTTCTGTTTCTACATCGTATTATAACTATCGACAAAGTCCGCGCTTTTAGCGTCGTATCCCGTTCGGCGTGGTTTACCGAGACGGCTGCCGTCGGGGGCGGCTCGGTATATGACTGGCTGGCCTTCCCCTGCCTCCGCAGCCAGCCGCGCAACCCGCGCCAGTGGTACACCAACATGACGGCGCTCATTGTGGAAAAGTACCCGCACCTGTTCGGCGCCATGACGCTGCCGCAGAGACTGGTGAGCCGGGCTGCTCTGTCAGGGGTGCTCTGTAAGGCGTACCGCCTCGGCAGTGAGCTCACTACTCCGGGGTGCTCTGTCAGGGGTGTTCTGTCGGGGTACCGCCTCAGCAGGGAGCTCACTACTCCAGGATGCTCTGTAAGGGTACCGCCTCAGCAGGGAGCTCACTGGTGGAAGTCGCGTCAGGGGTGCTATGTCAGGGTACCGCCTCAGCAGTGAGCCCACTACTCCGGGGTGCTCTGTAAGGGTACCGCCTCAGCAGTGTCGAGACTGAGAGGCGCACCATGGGTGGGGTGTCGGGGTACATTACCTTGCAAAGTAAGATGTCTCACGTGTTACGCCACTGGTCTAGGGCGTCGTGCGTATTTCATGCAGGTCTTTTTTAAATCGACGTCACTCATTTATGGACGTTTTTAATGGCTTTTTGAATAAATATACATAGAGAACTTCTGCCGCATGATTAAAATAAACTGAACTGAAGAGATAATCCATTTGAAGATACTGCTCGAAGACTTAAATCAATGTGATCTGATTAATGCTGACCAGGCCACATTCACTGTTAAGCCCTCCTTTTGCAGGCGTTCATGCGGAACAAGTTGATCCACAAATTCAAGAACGGCCGTTTCAAGGTGCAGACGAGCATGCGGCCCAAGCCGCCGGCCGCGCCGCTGCCCTGATCAGTGATCACGGACTGAGGGCACGGAGTCGGCGGTGCAGCAGGGGCCGCGCTGCCCTGATCAGTGACCACGGACTGAGGGCACAGGGTCGCCGGTGGAGCGGGGGCCGCGCTGCCCCGAGTGGACGGCTCTGCGACTGGCCGGCCACAGCAAGCGGCCGCCGTCTTTATTATTGCTGGGCCTTGGTTGTGTTGCTCAATGTTAAGTCATTGTTTTGAAGCTCAGCTTTTTTAACGCGGTGTGATTTTACCATGATCATAATAATTACATACAATAATTACAAACTATTAATTGTAGCAGTGATTTTGCGATGTTGCTTCGCCTTCCGGGCTTGTCGCTTTTTATTCGAGTCACTTCTAGCTGTTTGATTCGAGTTCTCTTCCTGTTTTGTTTCGCTTTTGGTTGGTTTTGTCACTAGGGTATCAGAAAATGTTGAATAATAGCTTGATTTTTTGCATTTTTGTTGACCTAAGGACGTCTGCTTAGAGAGCCGAGTGTTGCGGCAGCGCTGCCGTATTAACTAGTAACTAGGTACTACATTTAGTAGGTGTGAGCCGGGCCGTACAGTGGGTGTGAGTCGCACCGTGTAGATTGAGTCGGACCGTGTTGATTGAGTCGGAGCGCGATGGGTCTGAGTCGGACCTCAGCGAGTCTGAGTCGGACCTTGTGAGCCGGACCTTTAGTGGGTCTGAGTCGGACCTTGTGAGTTGTGAGCCAGACCCTAGTGGGTGTGAGTCGGACCTTAGTGTTCATTGCCAATCGCTGCCGGAACTATGTGGAGGTTGTGAAATACATAGAGATTAGACAGCTTCATATTTGAGCGTTTGATATTTTGGAATGGATTCAACGCTTCTTCGGAGTATTGGCAAAAAACGACAAGCCCACCCACTGTCTGTAACACATAGCAGGGGTGCTCTGTATGAACGCACTATGAAGCGGATAGCGTGAATATCGGCGATGACGGTCGCGCAGTCGATAAGATCTATCGACAAGCGGACCTTGGCGAGAGCTTCCACTGGGTTAGTCACTCACTCTATGGGCTGGATGGGGAACGAAGTGTAAGAAATAGACGAAAATAGAAATCGAAATAGGCCCTGCTCACTCAGTGCTCAGTGCTCATTTAATAGTGGTATTTTGCTATGCTAGCTTTATTTGCAGCACACCAGTAAAACTTGTGTTTTCTGAAAAAGTAATCCGGTGAGAGATAAGTTGCACAACGATCAAATGCTTATTTCACTTTCTACATAGAGAAGGCGTACTAGCTAAGGTCGGACTTAAATCGGAACCCGTGGGTTGCATAATATTGAGTCACGTTACATATAGTAACCAGTATAACGCCTTTTGGGGCGACTAACGGAGCGAGCGAGAGGGTGAGCCTTGCACGTGCGAAATTTCGACGGGGTACCTCCAGCTGACTTGTGCACGGCACCCTACTAACCGGTCTCTAGCGATGTGCCAAATTTGAGCACAATCGGCCCAGCCGTTCTCGAGATCTGGAAGCGGCACCCTGCACGTGCGCACGTGCAAAATGGGCCTCAACTGACTTGTGCACGGCACCCTACTAACCGGTCCCTAACCATGTACCAAATTTGAGCGCCATCGGTCCAGCCGTTCTCGAGATCTGGAATCGACCCCTGCACGTGCGCACGTGCAGCAGCACCTCAACTCTGGCACATGGATATGCATTGCATAGTGGGTGCCTACCTACATGCCAACTTTCAGCGCAATCGGCCAAGTAGTTACCGAGATATTGCAACAATTGCAAAAGTGACACCTCTTCGTTTTGCACGTGGCACGTGCATAAGGGGTCACCCACATGCATCGGGAATAGTCCAATACTTGGTAGCAGGAATGAAGCTACCCTACAAAAATTACCGCATGTAAATCGGTCAAGTGGTTGCTGAGATATAAGCCTCGCAAAAGCGTGACCACGGCCGGCCGGCCGGCCGGCCGCTCATACTCAGAAATTTCCGTTAATCTAAGGAAAGACTACGCTCGCTTCGCTCGCTCCGTAATTAATGGATGGCTCACGCCGCCTCCAACCAGTCTGAAAAGTGAGCACCGCGTACCCCCACTTACATCCCTCTCCCGCCAAGGGTACGACGGTGCTGCTGCTGGCGATTGCCAGTTTCCATGTGCCTCCACTACCCCCCGGCGAAGGGACGGCAGGGTTGTGGTGCTGTGATTTCCGCGCACCCCTCTAGTCCCCGGTCAGGGGGACGGCAGGGTTGTGGTGCTGGTGGCGGTGGTCGGAGTCAGCAGCGCGCCGCCCTCCTCGGCGGTCAGCAGGCCGGCGCCGGCCGCGTAGCCGCTCTCCTGGCCCCACTGCGGGTCGTACTCGAAGACGCGGTAGCTGGCGGGCTGCTGCTCGCTGGCCAGCCCCAGGCAGCTGACCTGGGCGGGCGGCGGCGGCGGGCTGTCCGCCGCCGGGTCGGCCGCCACCGCCGCCCACAGCTCGGTCAGACTCTCGTTCATGACGGCGCGCGGGCCGGTGGCGTCGCCGCCGTCGTCGAACGCCAGGACGCGACCGTCGTCGAAGGTGACGCGGAACCAGCGGAAGTGCAGCGGGTCGACGGCGGCGGCGGCGCGCAGCGGGTAGGGCAGCACCGCCTGGCCATCGGCGCTCAGCCGCACCTGCGTCCCGTTCCCGTCCAGCACGACGTGCACCAGCGCCGACGTCAGGGCCGTCTCCTTGAACAGCACGTGGCAGCCGGCGGCGCCCGCACACAGGAACTCAACGCTCCAGGAGGGCACCGGCGCGGCCGCCACGCGCCGCCACAGCGCGCTCTTGGCCGGCACCGTGTAGACGCGCTGGGCCGTCCAGCCGGCCTCGGTGGCGGTCCAGGGGTCGGCCAGCGGTCGGCCCAGCCGCCAGACGTTAGTGTAGCCCTGAAGGTTGACGAATTCGACGGCCGCGTGCGGGCTGCCGATCGGCAGACTGGTGGTGACCGGGTCGCCGCCCTCGGGCCGCGTCACGTTCACCTGCAGCACGCCGTCACACCAGCTGACCCAGAGCGAGGTCAGTTCCGGAGGGCGCAGCAGCGGCCACTGCGGGTCCACCAGCTCGGAGGCGCTGGCGCCGGACGCCGAGACCGTCTCTGAGATGGCCACCATGTCGTTGAACACGAAGACGACGAACAGGAAGCTGACGTCGGCGGCCGGTCCGAAGCCGAGCGCCAGCAGCGACTGGCCGGTGGCGCCGATGGTGAGCTGACACTGCTGCTCGGTGATCTGTTTCCAGACGGCGCCGAAAGTGCCGCGACACGTCCACACGTCCACACTGGCCGGCAGCCGGTGGCCCAGCAGCGTCCACGAGTCGTCCCCTCCGGCGGCCGGCGTGCAGACCCGCTCACAGGCGTCCGAGCCGTCCCGCGGGCCCGGACACCGGTCGCCGACGGGCCGCGGCGCCGGCAGGCTCACCGCCACGTACCTGCCGTCTGTCGGCGACTGCTGGTACTCGAGCCCGCCGCCGTCACCGTCGCAGGCGGCGCGCGCGTACAGACGGCACCAGCCCCCGCCGTGGTGGACGGCCGCGCAGCCGGCGGCGGGGGCGCGCAGACAGCGCAGCGCGCAGCTCAGCAGCGACGGCGCCGGCGCCTGAGCCGAGGGCGGCGCGCGCGGCACCACCGCCGGCCAGACGCGCGTCGACAGGGAGCCCTGGCAGCGCCACCAGCACGGTCAGCAGACAGAGCCGCGGGCGGCGGGCGCCGACGGCAGACATCGGGCCGGGGGTCAGCAGACAGAGCCGCGGGCGGCGGGCGCCGACGGCAGACATCGGGCTGGGTGTCCGCGGACCTCCTCCAACCTCAGCGGCCAGTGCCCTGCAGCCGGCGGTTACCTGCACTGGGACCTGCAGTGGGTCGCCGCTCCGTCGTGCCTGCCGCGCTCCCGTCTGGTGTTTAAAATCCAGCAGCAGCCTCACTCAGGCTCGGCCGAGGTACGCCGCACTGTCCGGCGTCCGTCCGCAGCAGGGCTTTGGTGGGAAACTCTGCCCGAACGGTGCCGGATAGAGTGCTTCTGCTGGCGTAATTGCGCACAGCGGAGTGGCTGCATGTGTGCTGCGTGTGGACTTTATAGGAGCTCGCCCCCAGCAACCCCTCTGAGCCAGTGCGGGGAAGACAAACACGACCAGCCGCAGCAACCACCTCAATGGGCTTTGGGCATTCTATGGGCTGTCAGACTTGGTGGTGGCAGGGGTTTCTGACGTTCAATAGGAGCTCCACATACGGTGGTTTTCAGTGTATTACAGTGCCTGAGTGCCCTCAATGCCCAGTTGTCCAGTGGACACGATTGAGGAGTGGTCTCTTCAAGTGGCTGTTCTGTTTTGTTTTGTTTTTTTTGCTCCTGACTGCACCGATTTGTCAAGTAACACATTCATTTGCTGTCACCGACCGTGGAATGACTGATGACGTCACGCGTGACCAGGGTTTGTCAAAGCCTCGACAGTTCCTACAGATCCTTCATTCCTGCGGTGCGCCGTACCTTGCGAATGCGGCGAACATACCGGCGAACCTAACTCATGTATCATGTGCTGTCACCTGTGATACTCTTATTACAAACACTGGTTGTGTCCGCTACGATTGAGCGAGGCGCGGTCGAGGCGCTGTCTTTTGGAGCGGCCCGAGCTTCGGCCGTTGAGTGGGTGGGTCAGGGTGTGCGGCTGTCCCCACAGGGGGTCACTGGGTCTGTGTGTGTGTGTGGTGGGGGAGGGAGGAGGTCCGGCTGTCTCCACGGGGGGGGCCGCCTGTGTGTGTGTGTGGGGGGGGTCCGTCTCACGTCTGTTCCCACAGGGGGCCACTGGGTCTGTGCGAGGACACACTCCGGGCCTGACACGTTCCCACCGTGTGTGACCGATCACCCGCCGTCAGTACGGCTTCGGTCGGTACACAATATACCCTCTCAGACGGCCGTCCGCGCTGTGCAACTGCTATTGGCTGGGCGGGCCGCGACGTTCAACAAACGATCCGGTAAAAACGGTTTGCGTATTGCGTAGCAGTGTATTCACCGCATACATCGCCATTCGCCATGTAGCCTTGGTGACATAATGGATGGATACTTCCATTTCGCGTCTAGCTAGACGCGTCAAGTCTTAGACGCGTCTAGCTCGAGTCTCGACGGCCGCTGCGTCTATCTGGCGCGGCTAAATTAGACGCGTCTAGCTTGTAAGTCTCCGTTCAACAGTTAGACGTCAAGTTGGACGCCAACTTGGACGTTTGCTCAGTTAGACGCCAGTTGGACGTCAGTGGAGGTCGCCACACGTATAGGGACTAGTTTATTAATGTACCTACATTGCACAATACCTACGTAGGTGTATATCACAGCTTATGACATTTATATGCTTATCTTATTCAATACATTTATTCATATAATTAATATACCACTCTCAGGGCCCAATATTATAAAATGCCGTACTATTCTATTCACGGCATTTGGTAACATTTACAATGATACCAGTGCTCACAAACGGTTATCCGAGTCAACGAAATGATTCTTTAGGCCGTCAACATACGATGGAATGAAATGCGTGAAAACCATTTTGCATCTGATGGCAGTTTTCTGCAGCTGAACTTCAGCCAGTGCTGCCATTTCTATTCCACGGCGTTTCCGTTTCAGTTTTCATTCCAGGTGTGGGTCTCCTGTGAACCTCGCTATGGTAACCATTTTATCTTGGCCACACCCGCCTGGAGGCGATGAGTTTCGCCCCTGTGGCCACTCCCGTTTATCTAAAAAAAAGGATAGACGAGAAAAAAAAAACAATCGATAGGTATCCACTAGTAGGTACTTTCTAAAGTAGCTATAGTGATAATTTTTGG